ATATCACCAATTTTGTTGCAAAGAAGTTGATAGGTCATCTATTTTAGATTGGCACTTAAGGTAAAATAATAATGCACTCTTTAATATCAGTTACCCAAAAGTCTATAACTAAAACTTCGGGGGTTTTTGTTGGAGGTAGTAATGATGTTTTTGTTTTGATGTGTTTTGTTTATTTGTTTGTTTTGTTTTGTTCAGGGAATTGGATAGAGGACCTTCATGCTATGGCCCTCTTTAAAATTTTAAGGCAGGGTCTTGCTACATCACCCAGGCTGGGCTCTTGAGTTTATGATCCTCCTTCTGTAGCCTCCCAAAGTACTAGATTACAGGTGTGCCCACTATGCTCAGATTCCATTAGCAAAGCATTAATGGCTGCTTTAAGAAAACTTAAAACAGGTTTTTGTAACATGAGTATTGCAGCATGATCTATTCTTTGATAAATAAATAAAATGACTCAGCAGCTTTTGTCTGCCTCTTATTCTGCTTCTTGTTAAAGTTCTGTGGTCCTTTTAAAAAAAAAATCTTCTTTTTATTTAGTATAACAGAAGAAAACTATAATTTCCTGCCACAAAGCCCATCCAAGAAAGATTTTGAAGGGAAGAGTGGAACAAAAGTCAGTCGTACATTCAGCTATATCAGGAATAAAATGTCCAGTAGTAAGAAGAGCAAAGTAAGTATTACTGTGGACCATCCTTGTGTGACCACCTCAGTCATTAGTGCGCTTTCGTCATGGCCAGTGTGTAACACCCCCCCCCCAATTAAGTTACTATGAGAGCATAAAGGAAAATCAATCCATGGACACACTTAGAAATGGACAACTATTTGAATAAAAATGACAGTAATAAAAGTAGCAATATAGCTATTGATGTTGTTTTTATTCTGTGCCAAGAACTTTTCATGTGTCAATGATTCTCTTCAGTCACCCAGCAAGGTAGGCATTATCTCTCTTTAGAAGTGAAGTAACTAACCTGTGGAGAACAGGTTTATACTCAGATTTCTGGTCCCACACCCTTAGCCATGGTGCTTAAGTCAGTAAATCAGATTTAAAATGCAGTAGAAGGATTTTATGCTGAGATCAGGGGATTGAGCAGTATTCATAGTATATTGGTTTAGGGAGAAGAAAATTTTCCCACAAAAAAGTATAAAAGCTTTTAAAGACTTAATTCAGGGGCCGGGGAGATGGCTCAGTAGAATAAGCGCCTCCCTGGCAAGCGCAAGGGCCTGAGTTCAATCCCTGGTTCTGCCCCCCTCCCCCAAAAAAAATTCAACTTGAATTTTTTTTTGGTTTTGGGGTTTTATTTATTTTGATTTTGCTATACTGGGGATTTGACACAAGAATTATTAACCTGTACCCCCAATCTACTTTAGTTTGTTGAGATAGGGCCCAAGTTACTTAGGCTGCATTATCACGCCTAGCTTAGATGATTTCTAATTATGAACCTTTGAATAAATGATTTTTAGGGTTCCTTGTAGATTACAGAATTTAAACTAGCTCTTTTTTTTTTTTTTTTTTTTTTTGGTGAAACCGGGGATTGAACTCAGATCCTTACGTTTGCCGGTCAAGGGCTTATCCTACTGAGCCATCTCCCCGGCCCCTAAACTAGCTTTGTAAATCTGGTTTTTGCACATTCATTATAGGAATCTTCAAAAGGTCAAAAAATATTAAAAGTCATCTGTTGATAAATAATCTCAATATTTTCAAATCAGTGGGTAAAAATTTTGTACCTCCCACTTCCCCTGTATTTCATTCATCTATCCATACACCTTCTGACACAGTAAAAGAAATAATAAAAATTTCAACTATGGCATTTTTGCATAGAATTACAGTACACATATATGTAAAATATATACATATAGTTATATATTTAAATATATATAAACACATAGAAATAATAACCTAACATAGAACACAAGAAAAGCGCACCCCTTCTAAGCCTTTCAGCCCCTCAGTTCCTTGCTCATGAAATTGTTTTCTCTTGTTCAACTGCAAAATACACTGAGTAGGCAGGAAAAGATAAAAGAGTTTAGCACATAAACATTTGCTGAACTATTAACTTTATAATTAACTTTATTTTATAATTTTTAAAAAACTTAAGATAGAATACTTAGTGTTCTTCATGGCAGCAAGGCTTAAAATGGAGCCTAATCTATTTTACATATTAACACTCCCTTGGACAATATTTGACATTAAAAAAAAAAAACAAACAAAGAATGCAAGAGAGAAATAGCCAGGTATTACCTACTGTTTTCTATAATCTCAGTCTTAAACTTGTATAATTTTGCAATCTACTTTGAATGGTTTCAGATTGGTTTATATTGTTTTGTTTTTTGATTTTTGTTTGGTTCTTGAACTGTGGAATCTTGACTTTAAACAAACTTAAGTGTAAGGCCAGTGAATAAGTGGAGATTCTTCTGTTCATCTTCCCAGTGTATGGCCTTTCATGACAGTGTGGTAAATACACCA